AAGCAATTTATAATTAAGCAAAGATTTTACGTTTTTGTAGCTCTTCTTAACTTTCCACGTGCCGCACATGAATCATTAATAAAATAAACGAACAGATAATTAATGTCACTCATTCGCCATTGACTATGTTTTACAATGTATTAGATTTGAATATGTACGAGTGGGTGAATTGCAAGTTAGCCAAGCTTGACAAGTGAAAGGCGATTTTATTTCGTTTAAAATATCACGAATCTTGTATATCGTTATCGAAACGGTTGGGATAAACGGGTTCGTCGATACGAACGGTTATAAAGTAACAACTTAACGTTTCGAATCACGCTATGTTTCTTCCGCGGAAAACCAGAAACTCCTTATTGTTCAATAAAATCGGTATTATTATAAATCGAACCAGACATTTTCCTAGTTACCCCATACGGAACGATCAAACGTATTTCCTTATTCAATTTATTTCTTCGTTATCGAGCTACAGTAGGAGTTATTAGAAAACCGGATACGCTTTAAGAATCAAACTTGATTTACGAGGGACCACCTTGTTCCTTCGGCATCGTTTCGAAATTCACCTTCTCGAATGATAATTTTACCGGCGAACAAACTGAAACGGTAGCACGGTTAACTATCCTGAATATAGAGCGAATGTTATTGGGTATACGGTAACCGTTTTCGCTGGAAACCGATTACCTGTGGAATCGTGGGAGTTGCCCGGATAATGACATCTCTGGACGTTTCAGATACTCGATTTGGTATGACTTCTGTCCGCAACGAGTCCCGTTCACCGACAACCGCTCGCAATTGCCCCTTTCAATCTCCGACAGGAAATTCCATGTTAAAGTCTCAAACCATACAGAATTGCAGAATGTCTAGCTTGAGAACGAACGAAGATGTGATTATTAACGTTCGATTGATTGAAACTGTATATTGTCTGTGAAATCTCGAGGTAGAGGGTGATAGAATCCATCATCACTGAAATAACATCAATTTACCATTGAAAGATAGGGTGCATTTGCTTTGGGTCATAAATTACCGAATTTTAATTTATTTGTAGTAGTTTCAATTTTCTATGTTGGAAAATAAAATTAAATACATTATATGCGTTGGGTGTCACGAATATTATACGACACGGGTCGTTTAAATGTCATCACCCAATACGTTCCATCTCCGCATCGACACTCATCCCGTGAATCCAAAAATTTATTCCCATTTGGCACGGGTGTGATATTGAAATATTTGGCCGGTACGTCGAGCGCGCAGAACATTAACTTTGTAATAAAGTTGTCCGAAGACAAACCGAGCGAGTTGAAGGATTGCAGGTTCATCTCGAAACACCTACGAGTTGTCTCTTTTTACCAGCGTTTCTATTTCTCGATGGAAAAATTCTTATTCGGCCGAGAGGACGCGACTGATCGCGTATTTTCAGCGGTGATCTAGCGATCGCGATCGACGTAAATACGCGAATTTATTGGAGATCGTATTGACGCGGACAAGAGCAGACATTTATCAGAACACGTGCACTTTTCGTAACAGTGAACGGAAAATTAAACTTGCACTTGTAATACATGGTCGAAACGAACGGTTGCCAAGAACGCTGATATTCCTTAATCTTTAGCTAACACCCGGAACAAAGTGCATTTTCTTAATTATCGTTTACTGCTGAATTTATAATTACCAGTTTGGTTCGTGGCGCGATTAAAACTCACTTGTTTTCCTAGCTTAGCTAACGCGATAGTGAAAGGACACACTTTCAAACATTCCAAGGAATTAATGGTAATAAACAACGATTATTTATGCAAAAATATAATTTTATTGTTGTATAAGTCCATCCCGTTTCCGTAATGATTCGTGCCGTCGACAGCACATAATTTTCAGAGAGATTGAAAAATTAATTTTTACAGAACTTTTTCAATTATTTATTCTTATTGTTAATTTATTCCGTTGCTTTATTGCCCCACGAAGTGCACCGCTGCACATCCTGAGAGTGCATTCGATTGCATTGATTCAGGCGTTGCGAGTGAAACCTCGATCAACGTTGATTTTTTTTTTACGATAATATTATCAATTTTACAATCAGGATATTTGCATAACAATCTCGAGTAACTTATAATCCAGAGGAGATTTATTTTTGAAATTTTTATTGAATCACATTTCCATCTTCTGTGTTGATGTTATCACTGATTAACATTAGAAACGTTAGGCATTTGACCCGGAAGTGTTCACGATTGAATCGTTGTTATCCTTGTTGAAAAGAACCGCGAATGGCATTGGTGGGCAAGAGTTGTGTTTAATCGTAGCCACTGTCCGTTTTGATTATCCACTGTGCAATTTAGTCGTCACCTCCAGTCATGACTTCCATAAACTCTGTAACAGAAAATTCGAGGGCATATAATATTTCACCGGAAATACGTCTCAAGAAATATTAAAAAATCTATAAAAATGTTGTATCATATCCAGTTAGGCTAAAAGGTAACGGGTATTATTTGAAATTTAATTTCGTTCCCCTTCAAAGGAATAACATATTATCTGAAATTCGCGTGTGGCAATCAAACGTTAGCCTCCAGCTCGGCACACGACCAATGTTAATTAATTAACGAGAGTGATAAATTAATAGCAAGCAACGTTACACCTTCTCTATAATTTTCAACGTGCAATACCGCTTTCAATCGACTCCGGTGGACGTGTCGTAACCCTGTTGCGTTAGAGATCGAATTGATTGACGCGTTATGGAAATTCAAGGGTTCAGCTGGCTCGAACTTACCGTCGAAGTCGAGCGTTCCCGAGCCGTCGGCGTCGATCTCCTCTATCATCATGTCCAACTCTTGTGGCGTCAGTTTGTCGTCCAACTCGTGAAGAATGTCACGAAATACAGCGGTTGTTATGTACCCGTTGCCTTCTTTGTCGTACAATCGGAATGCTTCGCGTAATTCCTGCTGCATGGCCTCAGAATCTTCCTCTACCAAGAATCTGGCGGCTAGCGTGCAAAACTCTTCGAATTCCAGTTGACCAGATCCTGTGAAAATGAAAGAGGACATTTTTTATTCCGAAACGAATGGTTTGTTTTTTAATCGACATTTATAAACGTGACAACTGGGGCTGAATCTGCCATTTGTGAAATGTTCTCGAGATAACTAATACGTATTGATTCGTATGATGAATGATTCAATGAATCATTGTGAAAGTTTCAATTAGGATTAGAATATGATATGAATCAGCTGGAATGTGAAGTTATTTCCTTACCATCTTCATCTACTTCCTGGATGATTTCCTTCAGCGTTTTTTCGCTGAGCTCGTAACCCAACATGGTTAATATTGTGCCCACCATGTCCGTGCCGATGCTACCCTTCTTATCGTGGTCGAAGGCGTCGAAGGCCTTCTTCAACACTGCCGTAAAATAATTATAATTAATGGAAAAATATTAATTATGAATTGCGAGAGAAGCTTTAGTAAGTTGCTTACGGGCAATTTGATCCTTGGTTAGGTCATCCTGCAAATGTCAAACATAAAATTATTATGAGAATTAATTCCTTGCTAGATTTATTTAAATGAAAGATTTTCATATATAGAAATTTAAAATTGAATTTGAACTCCAGTTCGTATTAGACTCCACTATCCGAGGGTTAATTTTGTAAACTTATAAAATTATCATCTGGTATTGCAAAAACAAAATTGATTATGAGTGTATCGAAATGTTTTTTGCAACCACCTACCATGTCGAAGCGATGATTAGATATGCACTTAAAGGAGTGATGTTAAGCACACGGCAACGTCGACGGCTTATCCGGGTATGCACCGGATTCTGGCTGTGGACTTCTGTTTTATGTGGACATTACGATGATCTTCTGGCACGTGATTGACCGGGTAATACATACGTTGAAACTCTAGCGGTTTTCAAATTCATCGAGGACGCTCCCCACTCGTTTTCCGCGGAAGTGGGGCTTTCAATTGTGCGAAATCTCGAGGCAACGTACCCGTTTTTGAAATTCATCACGATTTCCTCATCCCTTCTCTCTCGTACCATTCATTTCAATCGTCGAAAGAAATCTCTCTGTTCAAAACGAAAACAGCTGTAATAGGAAAGAAGCTCCAACGGCAAAATAGAAATTAGTTGTTCGAAGAGAAAATCTAAAACAGGAAACGTACAATGTCTTTTGATGCATAATTTAATGCATATATTTACATTTAGTGAAATCTGATTTCGCCATTGCGTTCGTGGTATCGTGACAAACGGCAGTTAGTTGCAACGAAATCAACGATCATTTAGGTGCAAATGTAATCAAGAAACAAATTAGATCGCTACATTTTTTCTTTTCTTCCACACAATCACAGAGAAAATTATTCGTAAGATTTACGCAACTTTCCTTACTGATTAACTTCAATTTCGATGCAGTTTCATATATCGAAGGGAATATTTCGATCATTTGTAAGTCAATCGGCGAGAAGTTACATCATTGAACGGTCTCGTGCGATTGCGAACGCAATGCCTCGCCTCGAGGTGAATTCTTTATTTCATAAAAGCTCCGTTTCGCAAGGAACTTTCGATCGAACGTTACTGTTACTTCCGTGCTGCAATATTCTTGATTAACGAATTAACACGGGAAAGCAGAAAAATCACGCGACAATGGGGCAAGTTGGCTCTAAGCCGGCCATGACGGACTGTCTCAAGACAATTCGGCGTAATAACCGTATCTGAGGTATTCTTAGGAAGTTAATTATAATCTCATAAAGGCTACCACCAGGCTATTATATTAGCACCGATCCTGGCGTATTGTTTCGTTTTCACTTCATCAGATTTTATCACCAATGAACTATTGCATTTTGTAATTTCGCGATCGGTGGGTATTAAAATAAGAAACACGGATTACGTTCGGTATGTTGTTTATTTCTTTATTGTTTACTTTGGACGATACCAATAAGAGTATTTATAGTAAGATTTACTCAATCGAACTGAATGTCAATGACACCGATTCGATGATACAGAAACGATCAGTAGAATAAATGAAAGAGACAAATTATCTTTGCTATTTTTTTGTACTTTTATTTCTCGTCTTATATTTTTTGTACGGTTGTGTTGACTTACATGTAGGTACAGGTTTTTTTTTTTTTAAATAATATGTATCGCAGGCAAAGTGTAAAGTTAACAAGATCTCTCAAATTTTAATGGACTCAATCGCAATACCAAACTTCATACGATCTTTCATTCTCTTCTTAAAACAATTAATTTTCTTTACGAAAAATTGTAGGAAGGATTTAAGATAGAAACGTCAATTTATATCCGTCGATATAAACCTGTTTCTACATACGACCCCGAATCGTGCGGTTAATTCCGGTATAGATAGAAATACATTTCAGCCGATTGTGAGTCCGAAAGTGAGGAACAGGGCAGAAATACTTTCTCAGCTATACCGACAACATCGTGTTCCTTCTCGTTCGTCTTAACGAACATCACCTACGAACCTTTAACTTCATATACTTTGCCAACGGTGTGCATACATCTCGTGTAAATTGCAGTTTTCGTACGTAGGAACCGGGCAAGTCGCGGTCGTTTGTGCTTGCCGCATCGTGCCAAGGTGATAATTTAGCCTGTCATGACCTCCATGAATTCTGAAATGCGAATCGCGTCATGTTCGATGTATTACGAGCTGACTTTCTGGGAGTAATTCGAGACGAATGTACACTCAGGTGCAATGTAGGCTTCCTTTACTTAAGAGTTTAGATTATGCTTTTCCTAAGTTTTCCTTGGGTACTTCCCAAATACAAGGCAAGCGATGGGTGCTTTTCTCTTCGTACATTTATTAGCCAATCCGTATCTAATCGTAAGATTGAAAATCTTTAGAAGGGGGTTATAGCATTTAGACTTCCTGTCACTTTTGTACAGGCTACACGGTAAGAGTTATCGAAAAAATTCTTACGCCATTGTGTTTAGTGGGTCAAAATCTCAACGAATGGCCAAAAAATTTTTCTTTTTTTTTTCTTTTTTTGCCACTTCCGGTCTGACCAGAAATGACCGAAAAAGAGTTGGCTCTAGAGCAAATCTCGCTTTAGTTCACTTTAGCTTGTTCTTACCCAGAAGAAGTCTACTTTGCACCCTAATGTACGGTTTGTTCAATAAGAGCGTAATAGACATAGCTGTGGTCCTAGATTTGAGGGTAGAGAAATCTTACGAATTTAGAGAAGGGAAGAATCTTTTACTATTTTTGAGAGTACTTCTGGATTATGTAAACATTTTTGAATTCCACGTCAATCTACGCTCTTGTTGGACAAACAGAATGTCGAATAATACGCATATGTACCTTCGAAATCGACCGTGCCAGATCCATCGGCGTCCACCTCATCAATGATCATGTCAAGCTCCTCAGGGGAGAGCGCATCGTCCAATTCGTGAAGAATGTCTCGGAACACATCGGTGGTGATGTAACCGTTTCCTTCTTTGTCATACAGACGAAAGGCTTCTCGCAATTCTTGCTGCATCGCCTCGGTGTCTGTGTCCTCCTCCATGAATCTGGAGGCCAATCCACAGAATTCTTGGAAGCTCAGTTCTCCCGATCCTTCAGATAGAAAAGTTACCCTGATTTTTCTTTCTTTTTTCATTTAGAAATTTCTGGTAGTTTCTGTAGTGTTAACTCACCAAATGGGTCGAACTCGGCAATGACCTCCAATAATTGTTGCGTTGGGATCTTCATTCCCATCATTCCGAGAATTGTACCAACGGTGTCCGAGGTGATGGAACCTTTCTTGTCCGGATCGAAAGCTTCGAAACCCATTTTCAACTCTGCAATAATTGATTTGTTCGATAGAGTTTGTTGAAATATAATAGGTATCGATTCGTAATGGGATACTCACGTGCTATTTGATCCTTGCTCAGTTGAATATCGTCCTGTAAGGAAAGAAGAGATCACTTTAGGTTAATGTTAGAATCATAAAATTAAGTAAACTTTAAAATTTTACACGTTGACTACTGTGGACGTTTACTATTTCATATAATAGCACTACTGTCACATTAATAATGCAAAGTGTAGTAATTTGGAAATTTAAATTTGATAATTAACTACTCGTATCCTTATCACTTTGATGATAATACATTTTATTACACGTATCTATTTCCACCATGACAGTCAACGTTTTAATACTCTATCACTGATATAGTATCACACACAATTGTGTTACAGAATTTTGTGTTTAATCCCGTTTTGTCTAACGTTCCGATTCTTGATAATTACCATTGCGCTCGGTGAATCCATAAATGAACAAAAACGATCGTTCGAACTAATCACAGTATCACAGAAAATAATTATTTCCCTTCTGTGCAATCGCTTCTGAACAACTTACTGTACCGATGGAAATGTCACACTGAGGCTTAGTAAACTAATTAGTAGAGCTGCACCGATGCAATCACGCATTCTTATTAACGTCGACAGGTAATCACCAATCATGTATCGTCTCGAAGGCACTATAAAAAGATTCTTAATCGGTACCCTTTCATGGTTAAAGATTTGCGAAACGTACGTTCCATTGATGCAATCATTGAATGACAAATTACTGTTTCTCCCTGTATAATTGTTTACATCCTATCAAATCATATTTTCGAGTAGCTAGTTGTCAATTCCAATCGTTCATATTTCCTTGACGTAGGAAACGATTAAAATAACTTAAAGATAGGAAAATTTTAACAAAACAATACTTTTACATATTTCCACTTTCAAGACATTCATCCCTATATAAAAGTTGTACAAATTAAATTTCCAGCATAGAACGGCATGGAATCGATAATTATTCGATAAAATTTCGCTATCTATACCGTTCGTTTGAAAACGACTCGGCTAATTATTATTGTAAATGAAAAAAAGAATGAAAGTCGTTGCACCTTTCACGACAATTTCATCGTGATTCATCGAGCGTGATCGAAAAGCGACGGGTTGCCACGAAGCAGGAAAGGGAACGAGTTACGTCGTGGTTACATCATTTGGCAATGTCAAGCTCACGCAAATCCGGAACTGCGATTGGCAGTAGCCGTAGAAAGCCGGTCGTTTCCACGCGGCGGCGGTGGGCGAGCACGCAAACGATTATACCCGATTGCACCGGGTCCAAACCCAGTACAGCGGTTTGATATTGGCATTGCGTCCTTTTAGAGGATTGCAGTAGATTGCCAGCAGCTAGCTGGTGTAAAAAAGTTCACCTGGCAGCTACTCCTAGAAACGTGCATCGGTTCTAAGTGACCTCTTTAGCCAATCAGATAGAGCTTCGATGTTGCGACGAACTACTGACCTAATGATTAAAAATAAACGATAGCGGAGACTGGCCAATGATAATAATCAAAGTTATTGTTTAGTTTGGAAGCGTTCAGACATATGAAAATGAATCCACAAAGATCTACAAATATTCCACAAAGAAATTTAAATGCATTTTTCAGCCAATTTTCTATATAATATTTTTTACTATTGTTGTTAAGTATTAAAGTGGTTTCCTGTTTATTCAATTAAATAAAAAAATAGAGTTAACGTAATAAGCTTACGTTACATACATATCACTCTATGTAGACAGGTTTATTTTTGTTTATTTACTTTCACCAAGAACGATGGCTTTCACGTTACAAGGCTGGATCGTTGAAATTGACATTGACACAGGTGCCGCTGGGCTGTACGCCAGATTTAATGGGATTCGGAACGATGAGACAAGAATTATTTATTTTCCCGTTTGCAAAACGTACAATACGTCTTTGACGCGTGCAGAAAGGATTTCGAAACTTTCGTTCAATTATTTTCAATTAACTTGTGACGGAATAAATATTCTAATTCATAGACATATTGAAATGCTCGGAAAGTAGTACGTTTCCACTTGAAACGATACATTGTTTAGGATAAAAGGTTGGATTGTCTAAGGAAATGAGTTGGAAATTCAATAGAGTACACTTGAACTTGGCTAATTTCATTAGAAACCGCTGCTATGACTGTTAATGGCTGCGATACAATGTCACAGTTGACACCCACTACTGGTATTAAGTATCAGTGTCACAGAAAAAATCACAATAGCGGTTGATAATGAAATCAGCAACCACAAGTATTGATTTCTATCTTGAAATCAATTGATTTCTAAATTCATTTTTTTTAAATAATAAAACTCCAATAGCCTTTTATTTAAAAATTCGAGGGTCAAACACTGGGGTAGTACCCATCTCCATTCGATTCCACAGCCATAGACAAGGATGGAACAGCGTTCTTCCGATGGGGTGGTAACGGCGGGGCTTCGGATTTCGGTTTCTCCAATTCGCTGTTTAAACGTGCAAACCTCCAATATTCCAACGGTGTATCATTTGGTTCGATCTGGGACACGTAACTGTGCCAATCGCTCTGGACGCTAATTCTGGACACCCTGGATCTCCTAGGGACTGGAATTGACGCCGGAGGCAAGGGTGTGATGTATTCATCCTCGTGAAACTTTTGATCAAACGAAACGTTATTCCTTGGCTTCTCTTCGTCGATGTCGATACCTTTAGGAAGAACAATAGCATCCACGTTCCTCCGTTTCACAAACATCAGTCGTTTGCTACCTCGAAGAAGAATAGGGTGTCTTCTTACCATCAAAAGTGCGATGACGGCTCCCATGAGAAATAAGACAATCAATGAGAAAATTGATACACAGAAAACTAAACTCTTATTCGCATTTGTCAGCCAGGTTCTGTATTCGTACGTCGGACTCGTGGTCACTGCCAAGCAGTTCAAAGGGGATGATACAGTGTTCTCGTTATCATCTAGCAAACATATCGTGTATGTGGTCTGAGGATCGATATTTTGCACGAGATAAGAGTGTTTCACGTTCTTCACACAGCTCAGCGAGTTCTCAACGTCATCGTTGTTGAACCACAGCAACGTGACCGGTTGATCGAGATCCGGGAGATTGACGAGTACACCTTGATCCAGGTCCCTGGAGATGTAGAAATGAGGAAACTGTGAACGAATCTGGAGGAAGTCGTTCGACATCAACTTACGTAATCTTATACCAGATTGCAGGAAGATACTTGTAAAATTGCAGGTCAAATTAATGATTTCCTTGGTTGGTTTAGTCGTAAGAGTCGTCGTTGAACTGCGGTCATGCTTGGTTGATTTCGTGGACTCGGTACTCGTGACAGGTGGAACAGAGCTGGTGGTGTTTGATTGATAACAAAAGTTAGCTTTCGTGAATGATTTCCCGGCATTTATCTCCGGTGTCTTGCAAATTGGAGAACCGATCACTATGCTCGACGAAGTTCCAACGTGATCCTGTATCCATTTCAGACTGCAATTGCAGTGCCAAGGGTTATCCGTTGCTGTTAGATGAAATGCTTGTCTGAATTTAATTATGGAGTCGAAGAGACCCTCTGGCAAAGTGACGATATTGTTGCTGTTTAGAAATAATTGAATTATAGAGGAAGCCATTGGTTCGAGAGTGTCTTGTGCAACTGTCTCGACTTTAGAGTTATCCAAATAAAGAGATGTCACTGATGGTACTCCTATAAACAACTCACGTTCAATCGTGCCTATAGAATTTTCTCTTAACGATAGGATTAGAAGCTTCGACATGGGCACACTTCCTCCAGTGATATTTCGTAATGTCTCTCGATTGTTTATAGCGCCAGATAGTTCAAGAACGTTCAAAGAATTCGCCACATCTGCGAGCAAATTGAATTCAGCGAATCTGATGGTGTTATTTTGAATGGTGAGCTCGTTCAATGATTCCAAATGATGAAACATCCCTCTACGTAGGGAATGCAGCTGGTTGTTGATCATTATGATCTTCTTGGTACTTTTATAAATGGAATCGGAGAAAATATCGTCCTCGATTTCATCCAGGGAACAGCTTTGGAACGTCAGCTCGTCGATCGACACGTTGGTACTCAGCCAGTTCCTTCGCAGTTTGTTCTCGGGGAATTTGCAGTCGTTAAACGACAGCTTTATGATTTCAACGTTCTTGCAGTCGATCTAGGTAAAACATTTCTCAATAGAATATCGCGTAGGCGAACTAGAACGCGCGGCTGTGATAGGTTGTTTTGATTGTCGCTTTAGAAATACCTTGAAATCGGTTTCGATGAAATTGGACGCTTCCGTTCCAGGATCGAGGCTCTTCGGGATCGATGAGCAACTGATGCTTTTGCAGTCTCGACTTTGACAGTAAGAGGTGATTCTCTGTTGAATGGTGTTGTTGGAGGTTTGTGGAACATGTGGCAAATTCTGCTTCCATAGAATGTTCTTTGTCGCTTCTGAATTTGAGGACAATAATTTGTAGCGTAGCCATATCACAAATACCGTGATACCCAACGTCAGAACAGCCGCTAGAAGTTTTCGCCATGCAAAACTGAATTCATTAATAATTAAAGTGATTTTTTTATAACTATCATCATGCTCGAATATATTCAATCGTTTTTGAAATTGGAACTTGGCCAAAGCTAACTTTCATTAATCTTAATATGAAAAGCATTTCATTGATTAATAAAATTGAAAATTTTTATAAAATACCTTAGTAGCTGTTTAAATGCTTGGTCGAAGACACTCGTGATCTTCAATTTTGTAGTGGACATGTCTCGTTGATGTTCTGTACGGAAACGACAGATGTGACCATCTGGCGAACCGAGAATTGTAAGCTGATTGCATTAGAATGCATAGCAATCGTATCTATGATTCTCACTGATTAATTTTATCTGCCTATGCATTACTGAATGCATCGATTATGAGATATAATTGATCTTAACAGGTCCTCTTTAAGTTTCTAATATGAACAAAACGAGTAACGAATAGGGTCTTGACAAATGGGAAAAAGAATCCATTGGTATAAATCAATATTTATTTATTTCAATTCTTTTTATAATAAAATTTTTATAAAAACAATTTCACAAGTGATCTCTGCAATTTATGTTCATTCATAATAAATTTCATTCTCCGAAAATCTACAGTCTCCACAGAATCCACATTTTAGACAATTTTATTTACATTCAACAATTTCAAAAAATATTTTTCAAAAAACTGGGCAGTAAAAGGTTCAAATACATCAATTTCTATATTCGTCATATTAAAAGTTTTTATAAAAACAGTAAAAAAGTATGTCCGCTATTATAACACTGGACTTGAGAACACATTATCGAGGAGGGTCATTATCGTCTCATCTACATTTCCAGCAGTTGGTCAGCGACACATTGTCCCGTTCTTCCGTGATTTCCTCGTCGACAGTGTTAGCCAACGGTCTACCACGCGTTTCCGGCAATATCGCACAAAACAGACCCGCCAACAGAGCTAAAGCACCGCAAAGAGTGGTCGGTCCCCACCAGACAATCGCCCCCAATAAATCAGCTACGTAAGGTGCAGCCACGCTTCCGACATGGGACATCGCGGAATTCGTTCCGACCGCTGAGTTTCTGCAGACCTGTTCCCAGAGTAATCGTAAAAAATCGGGAAAAATGTTGACAAGAGTTAATTGAAGGCGACCGAAATGCTGAGTTACGAGCACGGTGACTTTCAAACGAGATTGGTGAAATTTAACCCTTTCACTGCTGAGTCCGCAACGTAACGATCGCGGATCGATTGTTAAAACCTGATGAATTTACTTATTTTTAAGCTCTCTAAATTTTTAAACAAAGCCACTGTCTTCGTAACATATGTATAATTGTTCTCACCGTAGGGAAAAGCTCTGAACTGTACAAAATAGCGATACCATAACCAGCAGACACGCTAAACCTTCCAATTAAAGAGATAATCATAATCGTGTCGCTTTCTGTTGTAGGTATCGTAAGAATGCATAAAAGACAGATAGATGCAACGATGTACAGAGCTGCACATCCGGTTCGTCGACCCGTAAACATCAAAATTGGCGTTGTTATCAGGTAAGCTGGTATTTCTGTCAGTCCCATTACCATCACATAAATGTATCGGTTCGTTGAGAAATTGTTCACGTTCAATGCTGAAAAGATTTAATTATGAAGTTCAGATATCATTGAATAGGTATAATTGATTAATTACTGAGGAGTACCTAAAGCGTAGTAACAAAGCGAGGCGACCATCCAAGTGAAATTCGTAATAAGAATTCGCTTTCTCAGCTCGCTGTTAGTAATTAACACTCCAAACCCTTTGATGTTTTTACGTAACTGCTCTTTGACAGAATTCTCGGTTGTCTTTACCGTCATAACCAAATCATTAGAATCTTTAAATTCTTGATCTTGTATAATAGTGGCCACTGTCACTGTTGCATTGCAATTCTTCTTGCTCGCTTTGTCAATTAATATCTTCGCTTCGTGTCGTCGATTGTGAGCTATCAACCATCTCGGAGATTCTGGCATGAACCTAAATAAATTCAAAGAATTTCTTTCTGAAAGAACCTAATACAACCTTCATACAATAGAAAAAAAGATCTCTATCTTCGGAGAAAAATATTGCATTTCTATAAATCTAATCTCTCGTCATAAATCATTGAACTTTTAATTATCTAATCTCCTACACAGCGGTGAGATCAAAGTCTTCGAGATAACAATATTCTTGATACTTGCTTCGATTTAATGTTCAAGTAACGTGCAACTATTAACATACCACATATGTATCAGTAATAATAGAGCTGGTAGAGATATCGTTAGTTGAATGTATCTCCACTCGTGCAACAAATAAGCTATACCCGGTACGATTACTGTTCCTGAAGCATAGCCGACGTTATAGGCAATTCCCATCCATTGTCTATGCTTTTCACCTGCCACCTCTGTTACTGTAACCCCCATGCATTTCAAAATTAAAATACTGCAATTTTGAAAATCAATGGAGCTGGTAAAATTTAGTGGAAAACTTACGTATGGTGAACGAAGAATACTGTATGGCTGCATGGCTAATGCCATTGAATAATCTGGAGATCATAAAGCCCCAATACCAAGGAACGACAGCGCCAAGTGGACCAGAGACGATCAAGAATATTATACCTATGACGTAACTGATTTTCCGGCCATATTTGTCCGCGAACATTCCAAAGAAAATGCTACCAAATAACTTTCCAAGAGACAAGATTGTATGGGTGCTGGAACGGGCTGCACTCTTGTCGCATACCAAATCCCACTGAAATGATTTGAAACTCGATTAACAGGTTTTCTCCTAATTATTTGTCAACTTCGTTAGTAATCACGCGTTAAAGCGGGTGCTGGTCAAATTAGAATGTTGCAGCAATTGCAGCAGAAATTGGAATGTTGCACCAATTGCAGGTCAAATTTGATGCCTATAGCATCAATGTTATACGTATTGTGTCACATTTCATATGTTTGACAACCATGAATTTTCATTCCATACGCTTTCAAAACAGGGGAAAATCATTTTAAACTGTCAATCAATCTAAACATTTTTATTTTGAGTGATATATGTGCTTTGAAATTATATCAATTTCCTAGTTATTATACAGGGTGTTTCGTTTAAAACAAGCCACCTAAATAGCCCCTCTATCTCTGAAAATAAAAAAAACTGTTACTGACGTAATCTAAATGGTTTCAAAAGACGAATCAGATGGAAGGATCGTTTTTTATAAATTGTAATTTTTTAATCGTTTTTTCTAAGTCACTCATGTTTTTTACGTATGTACACCTTTTTTGTTGTTGTATGTTATAGCAAATATTATTGTGCATTCATCTATGTTTAATAGCACGACCTTGAAGTGACCGTGGACTCTAAAATTTAAACACGAGTGACCTCAAAAAAACGATTAAAAAATTACAATTTATAAAAAACGGTTCTTCCATCTGATTTGTCTTTTGAAACCATTTAGATTACGTCAGAAACATTTTTTGTATTTTCAGAGATAGAGAAGATATTTAGGTGGCCTGTTTTAAACGAAACACCCTGTATTAAAAAAAAGAAAAAGATTTGAGCCACTTACGTCTTCAACGATGGAAGTTCTATCGGTATCCTTTGCGAAAGTCCTTGTTTCGCAGGATGCCGTTTCGGGAATAGTATGCGAAATTTTATATTCTAATGCTTCGTGGAATCCAATCTGCGCGAAATATTCATAATCGTAATTATACATGGTACACGAACTGGCGGAGGATATGTTTCTTATTTCTTCGTCAGTCCAATTAGCTGCTGTCAAGGTTGGTACTGCACACCAATGAGGAGGGACCTATTTGAAAATACACATGAATTATTGAAGATAATGATAGCTTTAGTTTCTTTGAATGTATAAAAGTTAAATTGTTTTACATCGGCTATGAATATGTAGGACATGGAATGCATTCCATTGAATATCGTCGGTGTTAACGTGAAAATGAATATCATCCAGAGGAAATTAGACCCACAACCGAGTTTATCGAGATCCTCCAGAAGAGGATCCGTGGACTTCGAGTCATAGTTTTCATCGTCAGACATTGTTTGCTCTGAAAATTAATTTTAATCCTTTACATGCAGTTTCTTACATAAATCTAAAATAATTGAAAGTCACCAACCACTTGTTACACTCTAAAACTGTCCAAAACTAATTGCACGATCCAAATGATCAACAATTTTTCTTATCTCGATAGATAACTAACTATCGCTCGTATCGGCGTTTCAAGTTTCATTACTATTTCTTACAATCATTCACAAATTTTTCACAAATTTTTTCTTCAGAAATCTTACTTGATTTCACTATTACATTACTGTGTTTGACAAACACATTGGAACTCTTGATCGATTACTCCTTTTCTATCTACCTTCACCGTTGTTTCAACTAATTTATCACAAATGCAATTCCACTACATAGTTGCGATATTTTTTTCCATCAAAATCCACAGTGAAGAATGGTGCACGAGCGACTGACAGTCGACATTCTTCTTCCCCTGCCACGTATCTAGATAAGCAACAATCCAATCAGCTATGGTCGTGCCAACGCTACTGACGATTCGGATGGTTGTGATATGATAATGATAACGTCAGCTGATTCACTTGCTCTCATTCTCTTGGTCGAGAAGAAATCTTCAATTCTTCGCCGCTCATCTCACAATCCGCGCGAGTTATTTGTTTCGAGTATTCTTTATTTATCACAGAAGAAATTTTCTAAAAATTTCATTCAACAAAATCAGAGTTTCGTGAAACGTTTCGGTGAAGTTAAAAAGGTAGCCACAGCTCGCTTATCAGCAATGTTTACGAGCGAATGAAAATAGGATTGAGGGTTTCGAAACCGATAGCTCGAAATCGTCCTCGAAAATCGTCTCTATCAGTACGTTTGTTGAAATACAATAAAAATAGCGTTGCAAACCGAACAGATGGCACCACGTTGTTTGAGTTACGTAAGAAAAACAAATGGATCATCTGGGTTGCTCGAAATGTTGCTACGTTACTGGCACGACTATCAGATTTACCGGATGCATTTACTTACAGCTTATCAGACGAAGGAGTTTATTACCACGGCACGAATCGTATGAAATTTTCGCGTAGTCGTGCAATTTTTAGCTTCCGCCTCTTGCGTTTCATCCCCGAGAACCTTACGATCCGGCTTTAAAGATTTTAATTAAATAATCAGAAGTTCCTTATCGGGTCATTAAATTACCGAAATCGGTGGTTATCGACGTTTTGTTAATTTTGACGAGAAAACCGTGCAACGACGGGTAATCGAAAAAGGCTACTGACCATTTATCTACGTTTCTACACCCGTCAAGTTCAACGTCTTCGAGATTAATTTTACCACGGTTTCGTTTTTTTAATTTGTTTGAGAACAGGAGAGACCGATTCCAGTGTATTATTAGTCGCATGATGTATTATGTCTATCTGGATGTGGTTGACATAGTTACGACTGCTATGTCTTCGATTTAATATGCTCGTTAACGATTAGTGATTCGTCTGTCGCAAATAGCTTTCTGTAATTTTATTTTCCACGACTTTGGAATACAGGTAAGAGAAACATTTCTGAAAAACTTATTGCATTTCTTATTTGTGATTTTTTGTAAACATACATTTAAATAAAAAAAGAATTTTTCTAAAATTTAAGTATATAAAAATCTCTATTTCTCGTTTGCATTCAAATAAAATTATTATCACTGAACACATTGCACATCCGTTACATTTCTCATAAACTTGCATAAACATTAATTCTATATATGAAAACAATTTTTATATAAATAAAAAAGTATACTTATGAAATATAAATATATAAAAGTTTCTATATTACCATTTGCATTAAAGTAAGATTATCACTGAACACATTTGTTCAATTATAAGATAAGAAAATAAATTCTCTACAATTTTAACGTGTATCTAAAACTTTAGAAAATCTACGATCAGTTCATTGATGCAGTAAATTCCAATTGACATTATTTATTAACCGGCACCCTACGCACCATAGGAACGTTATAAACTAGATAGAAAAATGCATTTGTTATGTGACCAAAGGACCTCAACCACGCGTCAATTTTATAGCTGATTTCTTTCCCTATTGGAAGGGGCTCTCTCTGATCCTCCAATTCAATTATCCTGAAAAATAATTATTAATTAATACATTAAATTTTAATATTCCAAACAAGATAGAAAATTTTTTTGAATAACATAAGACCCGCATTTTTAAACATATGTTTGAAAAAATCTCTTCAAGAATAAGCAAATATTTGACGAAACGAAATAGGATATTACTGTTTGACAATAAGCATTTGTAAATGTACTTATTTGCAAAATACTTAAGTATATTACCTGTCTTTATCGGATTGCTGTTTGTTTCGATTGGTGTAAGTGTACATGTAGCAAGCTGGATAAGTGCTGATTGTCTTTATTTTATGAAATTGGCCAGTTTTAATAGGAATCGATGATTCTTTTGAGATTATAACTCCTTTACTCTGATTCTTGTCGCTGTATATCACCTCTCCTTCGAGCACCGTTAAAGTAACATTGGTGAAGTTTTTCGAAATGTAATTATCCAAATGCATTCCTGGAAAATCAGCCACGAAAAGAACATCTGTATCGTTGGACCAGGTATAGACGTGCTGTTGAATTTCTTCCAGTTTGTACCTGTATGCAGTGTGCAATAGAGCAGATTATGGCTTTTCAGTTGTTAGATAGACTATGTTTGTTCGTACCTGTACGAATTATATTGCGACAATAGGGGCATTAAAAACGAGATGGGCTTAAACGGATGCCAATCTACTGTCAACAAGTCGACGTTCGGATCAAACATTCTCTGTTGGAATCTTCCGTTCAGTGAACACCACACGTCGATATAGATGCTTAAATTCGTTGATAAAGGCGTCCATTTCGTCTTCCCGTCGCGTTGACGATAATTGTCGAAAATTTGATTCTCTTGTTCAATTAAATTATCCTGTTAACGTACATTTATTTGAGTATATATAGAAAAAAGGTATTTAGAATCGATACGTACCCTTAAACAAAAGGCATATTGTCTGGCCATATCACCGTGTCTCTCCCATCTGTCTCCTTGCACCCATGCTTTAGGATCCAAATAACGATCTTCATTACTCACATTATCGTGAACTTTAATTACAACCAGTATGGTGTCCCAAACGTGAACCATCATATCCCAAGAGTAACCATACATACCTGACACCCAATTATTGTAACCCTATCAGAAGAAAACATATTAATTAATCAAAAAATGATTAATACATTTACGCTTTAATCATTACCTTTGTAATGAAATGTGAGTATGGCAGGAAGAATTGTAAAAATATATGAAATAGTAACAGAGACACTACAAATTTTTGTCTCTTTGTTGGTCCTGTGGATTTGATACAGATTTCCTTAACATTTTTGTGAATCATTTCAGGCTTTCTGGATTCTATGGTATCTTTTCGATACTCATCATCAATTGACGATTTGTTATTCGTTTTATTCTGTATCTTATCACACGTTAAAGCCTTTTCTAATGGTTCATTAGAGTTGAATTCTTTTTCATAAAGATCTTTGATGGAACTACTCGAGAAGTCCTCGCAGTGTTTGGTTTTTTGACTTTGCACTAGAAATATAGGAACACAGTTGTCTTTTAGAAAAGAGCCAAACCTTCGAGGCCAATCCGTGCTGCAGAAGAGTGGCATGGTTGCAAGACACACGTAAGGAAACATTCCTGAGGAAAAATGCTATTAATTTTGCAATAATTCTGTTATAAAATAGTCACGAAAATAAACATTTACCAATACTGAAGAGTCTGGAATTCATCAAATGAAAGGCAGTGCAAAAAATCATTGCAGGGATCCGTGTTTTATCGAACAACATCCAAAATCCAACCGTGAGGTCAAAGATAAATGCGAACCAGTGGACTATGAAAAAGTCTGTTTGTTCGGTGGTCAAAAATAATCTGAAACATTGCAACATTCGATTGAATTAATTATTGTATCAGCCAGGAACGATCTCGAAGATGATCGACTTACTTGAACGGGCTGAAGACCCAGTGTCTTGACAAATTTGTCATGGCATAACCTGAGAGCCATTCTGTACATGATTTTTTTAATCCAGCTAAAAAGTACAGTGCAAAAAATTGGAACCTCAAGATGAAGTAATTCCATAGTGGTACCCTGTGTTCGGTTCCTCCGGTTTTCAAGGCATCCAAGGCACTGTAAGAAGATGATTCAATGATTTGTATCGCGTTTTTGATCAATTGCAAAAGTTTAATTCTATGGAATTTCTATGGTAAACTTAACAATTGATTGAGTTGCAAAAATTAAATTCTATAATTTGAGTTTTGAGACTATTAAATCATAATTTAATTAATATTCAGAGCAATCTTGTCTCACATTTTCAGCCACGATACAGGTTTTTCCACTCGGATGGGACTATTTCCTTTCAAACTCACAAGTACTTATTAGCCTCCGTACCCCAGAGGAGAGTCGCGACGATCCCATAAAGATACGTATGGTTGTTCCAGTAGCTTTTATCCAGTAGAAAGATGTACCAGTAAGGAAGCACGAAACAAGCGCAGGCGAGCTTGAAACGTAAGCCTAGCATAATACCAAAGGCACCGATCCACATGATCGTATAAATCAGTATCATCCATGGCAGCGACGGAGCTTTCATTCCATGAATCAGTGGAAAATGACACTCCATAGGATCTCCCCATTTGATATCCACGTCTGAAAACCCTCTTTCTTCCACTACGTCTAATACCATACACAGTCCTAGAAACGTTTCATCGAAACTCTTATTCAATTATTTTCAACTAATCAATATTAATGGTTTAGACTAAATTTGCAGACTTACCAAAGAAGGCTCTTACAACTCCTAAACTGGTCGGATCAGTTGGTCGGTACAAAAGTTTGGTAAATTTTTGGAAAGATGAAAGATCGTTCAACTTGAATCCACATAATTTCTCGAATCTATCCTGAATCGAACATCGTGCTCGAAGGCTACGTTCGTCCATCGCTTTGGAATTGGCGAGCAATCTGCTTTTCCTCCACATAATTGAATCATTGAACTGAAAATTTAAGAGAAATTAGTTATTTAAAAACAGCAGTACGAACGATTTAAAAATATACAGCACCGTCACAAAAATAATTGAATTTTCATCTGAAAATTTCAACTCTCAGACTGTTGAACCAGTAGATGAGGAATAATAAAAGATCCAAGAGACGGGGAAGTAGGATTGCAGGTAAGATCGATAGAAGTACGATCGAAAGTTCGACTTACCTAGACTGGGAGCGGTGTATAGCAGCCAGGAGATATGAAACCGGTCCGATGAGGATGTAACGAAGGTTGCTGGAGTTGTGCGCGCTGCAGCTGCAGGACTAGTCGTCGAAGAAGTAATCCCGGAGGCTGAGTGAGAGCAGGAGCACCGTCGCCAGGCAACGTGCTCGATTATTGACCCGCGCCCGCGCAATAATAATATATTATCAAGCATTCTTGTGCACTGCACTCAGGTTCAACGATGCACACTATCGGACAATACTCAAAAAACGTATCGCGAACCACTACTTCTTTGTACTTTTTGTTTCAGATACTTTCTGCGCAAACTCGATTTCAAAATCTATATTCCAATTCAAATATGTCTTATCTATGCAAATTTATTTTACTCTAACTCGGATGCAGGAATTCTTCTTCTTCTTCTTTCTGGAAAATCTTATCTTCTGTAACATTGTTTCCACGTGTTGGGGAGATTCTTATTTATATTAATAATTGAAAGGTCGACCACGGGAATTGACGAGTGTCGCGCGATTTCGTTTAAAAATAAATTATCGACGTACTGTTATCTCGACCATGTGCTCAATATGTTCGATTATGCAATAATGTTCGAGGGGTCTACGAACGTTTTTAAATAAAACCAAATCAAAGGGTTACACGATTTGGTGTAATCGATGCACCTTTCGAGTAACAATTTATCTTGATCGTTGAGATCGATAGGGGTGCGAGGTAATCGGAATCTCAAAGGACAGTTCATTATGCGTAGGATCCTTGCGTCTCATCGACAAGGTCCTGAGGGATCTAGGACCAGGTCTGGAAACATTAATTCCAATCAATTCCGCTACAGTGGTTCGTTTAACCCCTTCCTTTCGTCGCGTTGATGACCCATCAACATGCTCGCTTCGTTTATCTCTCCCACCTACCTTTATACAAGCCATTTGTAATTTTAATTTCCAAACATCATGATTATTTATTGAAAAAATAATTTTCTAAAGATTGTTCTCGATATCCTTATCGAGTTTAATTTTAGAACACATTGATTCATTGAATGCAGCCTTCGCATTACCCAGGCTCCATTAATTGAAATTACAATCAGCCTTCGAGTTTTGCATAAAAATAAGTTTCTTCCCGCCCAAAGACATAGGAGGACCGTTCTAACGGTATAATGCGTATCAGAGAACAGCCATTACGTAGTTTTCGATTGAGCCAACGAAGCCTTTTCGGTCTCGCAGCTGGGGTGTTTTAATGAATGGACGTAACTTCCGCGTTCAAAATCCCCAACGGCCGTTTTAGAGCCGTAAAACAAAGGACTGATTTATTTCAGCACGCCCCTCAATCTGTCTCCGTGGACCACTTTTGATTAGTGCTGCCTCTTCAAGGTTCAAGCCTTGAAAATTGCCATCGCGTAATGCATCTCTGCGCCGCTAACTTTCCTTGATACATATCTGAGGTGAAGAGAGAAGGTTAAAAATGCAATGATATATGCAAATAATAAAAAATGTTTGATTAGTACTCGGAATGAGGTCAAACGCTTAAAAATTTCTAGCGTTTTTAAATTTGAAGAGAAGCTACCCTTAATGATCTCATTTATTTGAACTATCCTGCTTCCATTTAAAACGCTCCCCGGTATCGCTGACACCAAGTTCAACAACCCAAAGACTCGAATGGGTTCGAATACGAGGACCATCCTCGAACGACTAGAATTTTTTCTGGTACGCCATTGGATGATCAAACTCGTCAGTGGCACATGAGCGAGGAAATTAACGCCGTTATTTGCCCACCGTCGCATACGAGGACCCCATCAACCCCCGCGCGATATTTGCCGAACGTATTTGTTCAGGAATATGAATCAGTCCACCTGGAAGCGACCAAGGAGAGAGTTTCAGAGAGAAAGAGAGAGGAGAGTTGACGGGAGAAAGGAGATCCGTGATTGTCGTATGTATTTGCCCGGCTATTTATCACGGTTTATTATTTCCTATTGTCGATGGAGTCACGCATTGTTGGCGAACGAGAAGGGCCGCGGCGAATTTCTAAAACCGTGTCCGATCGAATTTGCATATTTCAGAGGAGGACGCGTGTCGGGCGTCCGATTACAGGCCCTATTAATTGCGGTTCCGCATTGTTCTGCCCCGATAACACGGGGGTCGATACTTAGTTTACAACCGTCTTCTCGTCTTTCCAACGTTGATTCGCTTTTTCAGTTCGCTTTCAATCACGAAAACCTTTCAGAGTGAGATTTTTCATTCCCTGACTTGAACGACTGAAAATTAACACCTTCAATGCGAAAGGTGAATTAAGGGTGAGATTTGGTTCTTAAGTTACGTTGTGATTATTATCGAGTAACAATGTTGCAAATTTTATTTCATTTTCATTATCTCAGAAAGTGAAGTATACTAGAACGCCTAACCTTATTAAGTAAACAATCGAATAAATGAATAGATAATAATAAATAGTAGAATTTAATTGAAGGATCATGTAAAATATACATATTTACATGTAAGAGTATGGAAGAAGATTTCAATACATTATTCACGAAAGTGTAACCCCAGCTGCATTAGGCAGACGCATATTCATGTGAAAAGCAGAAGAATCAAAGGATGTTGCGAAAAGCTCTTTATGCATAAAAGAACAATAGGGTGAATGTAGCACATGTCTGATATAATATACTCCATGTCTACCACATTCAAAACTTCCTTTCCGTAATCAAAAATTTTAACAAATTATATGCGCACTTATTCTTAAGGATATAAAATTTTTGAAAATAAGTACTTGCGATGGAAAGAAGAAAAGATTCCAACAGTAACGTCGCGTCGTGCACCAAGTCCAAACAATGCAAGGGGTGACGGGGTAGATGGAGTGGCCAAAAAAAAAATCCGGCATAAAATTAACAGTATACAGCTTGCAGAATGCAGTTTGTTGCTAGCCGGCAATATTTCACGATGGTCTCTGCCACGAAGAAAGAGAGGGTTCGTTCTCGAGGGGGGTGTGCAACAATGGAACCCTTTACCCAGCCCCTAGCGCCCAGCCAACATCCATACATCATCATTCATACTGAAAAAAAACCTGGGGGCACCTATGCCAGTCTACGTTGGAGGGGCCTTCGAAATTTCAAAGTACCGAGTACGCATCAAGTACTTTCTAATGCTACCCTGAATTTTTCGTTCGCCTCGTTCAGTCATTGCACCTTCGCTAGCAACAAGTTTCGTGTTTGCATAAAAATTCTCTTGAATTAAAGTAGGTACATTAATTAATAAAATAATAAATACTCGGGGGGTAACAGAAAATAATGAAGGTTCATTTATTTTCGATAGCAAATATTCTCTGAGTTAAAGGTTGACTTTAAAATAGTGGTGCTGTGTAAACAGAACTTTCCAACCCCATTATATTGAACAATAAATTCAACTTTCCTTGTACAAAGAACAGCGACATAAATCTCAGATGACAAAAGAAAGAAACACTGGGGCCATCATAGGTCTTCAAATAAAACCGTGAAGTTTCTGTGGTCATCTGATTCCGGAAAACCGGCTGGCACCCTTTGAAAAAATCACCACGCCCTGGAACACCGAAAGGGGTGGTGCCGGTAGTAAACAGTAACGTGCGAAACTGTCGCGAAGGGTTGGGAAAAAAATGAAGAGCCGGAGGAAAAGCGTGAAACCATTCTGCAGTTTATGGATCCTAAAAAGGATGAACTAAAACGGGATGAATGATTCTTGAAATTTTTAAAATTTCAAAAATTTTTAAGTATCTGTAAAACGATTTGTCTACATTTAAATGAACTACACGGAAGTTAAAATATTATATTAAAAATACAGTATACCTTTCATCCCCTATACTCGACTTATTCTCAGCACAAGAGACCCTCTAATTATTTTGAACCCTGCACAAAGGTTCGAATGGAAAAACAGCAATCGACGATCCGTTCCAGGTCGAAAGCCATCGATCAGCAAGAATTTTGGGACGTCGATTCGCTGTCCAAAGCGCGAAAAGAAAGAGAAAGAAAGCAGAATGAGAAACGTAATCCGCTTTTCGAAAAGAGGCAACCCCTTCTAGCCGTCGGTCGTGTCACAGCACGGGTGACTGATTGTAAAACCATAGAGTAACCCGCAAAGGGTTGCTGAAGCGAGGCGAGAGGGATACGGACAGTTTAAAATTGAGCCTCGTAATCGACGTGTAATCCTCTAAAGCCGTGACAGCCCGGAGATAATGGAGCACCGATCGACGATGGGTGGCCAGTTTGTTTTTCATAGAGACCAGATCGATCGGACCTTATCTTAGATTTAACCCTTGAATGGCGAAACTGGGTCATTGAAGACCCACTCGTAAATCTCACCGTTTACGGGATTTAGAAATTTTTTTCTCAGTCATCAGGGTCTTCTTCACGGTGCTCCTATAAATACCAAGAATCCGTCCGGAAGGTCGGCGACGCACGGTAGACTTTCGAGTTTGGAATTTAGGATTCTCAATTCTAGTTTCGTCAAACTATATTGCATAACTAATTGGACCGCTCTTCCGGAAACTTAATCCAGTCCACACTTTTTTCCAATTTTACAAAAAACAGGATACATGTATTGTCAACCAAACTCACCACGTGGATTTTCACACCTACTGCACGTCCCCCGAAAATCTCCCTTTTGTCACACATTTCGCCCCAGAAACTCTGTTGTACCGCCTAAGATGTTGTAGGAAACGTTTTTTAAGTTCACTGTGGAAATCACGCGAGGGGTTCGTGTATAGAATTAAAACTATTAGAAGCTCATTAGCATTTCTCGTTTCGCTAGTTCATGATCCTCGGAAAGGGGATGGACTGACGTTCGCATTATCACGTGCGAACGATTTTCATTTTGCCTAAGCGTTCGTCCGGAAAGATGATTTTGGGGTGACAAACGCAGGGGATACAGGTACCGGTGCGTGTTCGACCGAGCCTCTCCCGTGTTGTCACTCGCGTGATTCATATTTTCTTTTTTTTAAATCGCACGAAAGGTCCTCGGAATACTAGACGATTTCTAACAAGGATCCTTACAAATAAGCTGGTGTACTGTTAGGTTTGTTATTGTCCGAGATCGATCGGTATAAAAATTATTTTTACTGGTCCGTTACATCGGAAACGCATTTTGATCGAACGGATCGGCGAGTCAG